CCTAGGTTAACAAAGCAGATATACAATCGTCAAATATGATTTGTTCAGTGACTGCTTCGAACTATAAGCAAGATAACTTTAATTTAAGCAAGATGACTACAAGATACTGAATTTAGACATGTGCAATTGCTTTGCTAGCTCATACAGCACATAATCTATAGCTTGCTTAGGCTCGCCCCTTTAATGTTTTACATTCGTCTAGTAAGTTTTATTTTTTTGTACATGTAGAAGCATACGAAAACAAAAGTTTGACCAACGAATTGGAACGTCTAAAACGAGAGAAAAAGCAGAACGAAGGTAATGCTACTTAGAACTATGAGAGCCATATTAACTCTCTCTCTCCCTTCCTTTCTCCTTCCTTCTCTCTTTCTCTTTGTAGATAAATTGGAGGATGGTAAGAAAGAGATATCAGTATTGAAAGAGAAGCTGAAAGAACTCGAGAAAGAACTAGCAGAGAAAGAGGAGGAGAACAAGAGCTTGACTGAAAACTTGAAAGGTACAAAATATCAAGCAAAGTATCGGTACTAGTTGTTAGATTTTAAATTTTTGCTCTACTAATTGTTGGGGCAAGCCTGAGCTCGCCCCACTAAGGCAAGTAAGCATTTGTTTGTTTGTTTGTACGGGCAGACCGTCTAACTATTATTAAAGTTAAATAGCCTAATCTTCATTGAAAGTGGGTGTTATCACAATGATAAAATGGCGGCTATAAGCAAGTCTGAGCTTATTTTGCAGGAAAGGTCAGCTAGATAAGGCTAAACTGCTGTCTGAAACTTCTCTAGCAAGAATAAAAGTTGGGAGAGCAGATATACAGTCTTTTCCTTGGTATAAAGGATTTTGCTAAGGTGAATGCAAGTGAGAAAGCTGCATGTACTGTACTGCTAGCTGCATGCATCATGAGATCAATTCTAGGTGATGTTTCTTCTCTAGGAGCAAGCCTAGGTTAACAAAGCAGATATACAATCTTCAAATATGATTTGTTCAGTGACTGCTTCTAACTATAAGCAAGATAACTTTAATTTAAGCAAGATGACTACAAGATACTGAATTTAGACATGTGCAATTGCTTTGCTAGCTCATACAGCACATAATCTATAGCTTGCTTAGGCTCGCCCCTTTAATGTTTTACATTCGTCTAGTAAGTTTTATTTTTTTGTACATGTAGAAGCATACGAAAACAAAAGTTTGACCAACGAATTGGAACGTCTAAAACGAGAGAAAAAGCAGAACGAAGGTAATGCTACTTAGAACTATGAGAGCCATATTAACTCTCTCTCTCCCTTCCTTTCTCTTTCCTTCTCTCTTTCTCTTTGTAGATAAATTGGAGGATGGTAAGAAAGAGATATCGGTATTGAAAGAGAAGCTGAAAGAACTCGAGAAAGAACTAGCAGAGAAAGAGGAGGAGAACAAGAGCTTGACTGAAAACTTGAAAGGTACAAAATATCAAGCAAAGTATCGGTACTAGTTGTTAGATTTTAAATTTTTGCTCTACTAATTGTTGGGGCAAGCCTGAGCTCGCCCCACTAAGGCGAGTAAGCATTTGTTTGTTTGTTTGTACGGGCAGACCGTCTAAATATAGGTTAGACAATGCATTTGAGGTTTCTACATGATTTAGATTACCGAGGAAACAAATTTAATTAACCGAGGGCGTAGCCTGAGGTTAATTAATGTTTCCAAGG